AGATGTTCCCCCAAGGAATCATAAGAAAAGGTAAAAGGTGAAATATGAACATTGACAAGGAAGCCAATTGCTCACTGTCCAAATTGTATTAAAATGAAATTGTGATGAATTACAACTTTATTTCTGCTGCTTTTAGCAGTTCTGTGATGGGATTCGTGAATTTCATTAGGACCCTAACCTGAATAAATCTGTCACATTACTAATGCTGTAAATTAATTCTAAACCGTAACTTGAGCATTTCACAAACCTTGAGAACAAGGTACTTTTTGGCTTTGGTAGTAACTGCAAATTACTCCCACTTTGTAACTGTGGTTAAATACATATAACATAAAACTTACCATTTTAAAGTGTACAATTCAGTGACAGTACATTCACAATGTTGTATAATCAACACTATCTTGCTCTAGAATATTTTCATCACTAAAACAAAACCAGTACTCATTAAGCAGTCACTTCCCACTATCCCCACCCCTCCCTGCCAGCCCCTAGCAACCATTAATCTGATTCCTGTCTCAAAGGATTTACCTATTCTAGGTATTTCACATAAATGGAATCACAATTTGTGGGCTTTTGTATCTAGGTTCTTTCACTTAGCATATTTTTCAAGAAATATCATATCCCTTAGCATTTAAGGAAAAACCAACTATTAATGTAAATCATGAAAAAAAGATATTGGAATCTAAATGACATCTGAGGTAAGTGAATGAGTCAGTGCAATTACCTTTCAGAAGGCATTCAACTTTTTAGGACTGATTGGTGCTTAAACACTGATCAAAATGAACGATACAACTTTAACATTTTATATGCAGCACAAAAATCTTAAGAATTCATGTCCACTAAATTATTAACCATTCAAAGCAATTTTATTTCTCATGTCAGCGTTTTTATCACAAAGCTATTGGAATGTTGCAGGGAATCAAAACCATTCTCTATTTCAAATCTCTAATATAAGTCATAGTTTTTAAAGTTACCAATTGATATAAAAGACACCCACTTGACACAATTATTCACTGGGTAATTCTACTCTGGAACAGATGTTATACGTATGATCATTTCCATTTCAATGGTTTGATTTCTTTTAATCAAATAATGTAGTTAAACCTGAATGCTGATACTTTAGTTTTTTAATGCTACAAATTTGTGAGCTGAGACTTTAAAAGAAGCTGAACATGTTATTTAATCAAATCTAAACTTACTGACCAAAACTACTCAACATATGCTGATTAGAACAAGTTTTTAAAAACTCTAGGTACTTCATCTAGGTTATTTTGATCACCAGCTCAGAAAATTGAATTCATAGCCTAACAAAGCAGTAATGACAATTAACATGGAAAAGAGGATTTCAATGAAAAGAAAATTCCAGGACAGCAAAGGGCAGGATCGCCTATCTCCAACTTCAGTCTTTTGAGCATTAACACATTATTGCTACTGCTTTTATATTAGATCAATGAATGATAATGTTAACAATTAATGTTACTCTTTGACTGAAAGGGATATGGAGAGCTAACTCCAGTCAGTTCTTTTCCCAAAGAATGAACCAACACATACATCGACCTATTTATCTGTTTAAGGATCTTGTCTGAGAAAAAAAATAATTCTAGCAATTTATATTAGAAAAACATAAAAATTAAACCTGATGAATCTGCTTGTCCTGGGAAAGGATAATTTGACTTGATGAGTTGGTCAGTCTTAAGAGTTCAACAGAAATGCAGTTTTATTACTTTCAAACACACAATATTTACCACTGCTAGAACTAGCTATGTATTGAAGAACCATTTCCTATCACAATACTTGCATGCAAATACATTAATGATTTGGGGGATGCTTAAAAACTTTGGTGTTAGTGAAAAGAAACATACTTATGTTGTCAGTTTGCTTCAGAAATGTTTTCCTTCATAGTAAACAATACTCAGACCAGCATGTCAAAAAGAAAAAAAAATAAAACAGGAGATTCATATCAATGACTTTTTACTGTATTTCTATAGAGCACATTCATGAAGCATCTTGATAACCCATTTCTTCGTAGTTATTAAATTAATGAAAAGTCACTCCCCAAATAATACATTTCAATGTCAAGTACTCTGAATACAAAATGTCAGTTTTGTAATATTCTAAGGTAAAAAAAAAAAAGCACCTCAAGATGTATCTCCATTAATATATCTCAAGATATATTAAAATCTACTTGGCCAATTTATGGAGATTATACATGCAAATAAATATATGTATAAACAATAAATTTATAGAACTTTATCAATGATGGATACAAAAGAATACTTGCAAAAACTCAGCAAAAGACCTAGTTTTTGCAAATGACTTTCAGATCAACACCCATACTTCATTTATTTCTACTTTTTTCCCCTCTTGGTATTACCCAATATTTCTTTCCAAAACACATATTAGGATTCAAGTATTGTAGGCAACAATATTTTCCAAAGTAATTTCCTTATATCTAACTGTCCCTTCCTTTTTTTTTTAATTAAAGATTTTATTTATTTATTTGACAGGGAGAGAGAGCACATGAGAGGGGGAGGGTCAGAGGGCAAAGCAGACTCCCTGCCAAGCAGGGAGCCCGATGCCGGCCTCGATCCAGGGACTCCAGGATCATGACCTGAGCCGAAGGCAGTCGCTTAACCAACTGAGCCACCCAGGCACCCTGTCCCTTCTCTTTCTGCATTGGTAAAGTAGAAAAGTGAACCATGTCAGGACACATTTCTCTGAAATACCCCCAGTCATCAGTACCTCAATGTTGAGTACCTCTGTTTTTTCATCATTAAAATAGAAACTTGAAAGGATTTATCTTTTGAACTTACTTTGATCTTTTAAATCAAAGAAAATAATTACATAAAGGTAACATTAGAAAGAAACCATCCTTCCTCTTCATTTTATTTAGAAAGAAGTTTACTAAAGTTGGTCTTTACTTACACACCTCAAAACTTTTTTATTTGGAATTCAGATTTAGATCAAATCCTAACTAAACCCATCACTGAATTACATTAAGGACAATGGATGAGTCATTGATGAGTTGATTTTCTTTAAAGGGATAACTAATATTCTCTTACTTTTTAGGCCTCATGAGCATGTTAAGTAAAACTACTGAGAGCAGTAGACAACCAAACACCTGTCAGTGAAATTCTTTCCATAAAAGACTACCCAGTCTACTGACAGAATGAGGGCCAATTGCTTTCTTCTACTGCAATTCTGAACATCCACCTCTGGAGGTCCCAATCACATCACCTTCTAATATGGTGTGTCATGCATTAAACACATTTTTTAATGTTTGCATAACTATTCCTTAGAAAATTTTTAAAATTAATAAATCCTATGTCTTTTTAGGTTGGGACGCAACATATGAAATCTATTTTGCTTCTAAATGCCAAAAACTACATTTAGATTGCTAGAGGTTAACAACATGTTATCGATACAGTAATATAAGCTACCATATTTTCAAGGGATATGGAAGTTTCTGTTGAAAACCTCATTATCTTCAAAGTTGCTAAGATCCCAATATCCACTGTCAGGGGATAGTTAATAATAACAACTACATTGATGGGATATGTAGCACAGGGTCAAAGACCAAAAAAGATTCTATATTTCTGATAAACCAGAAACTCAACCTTTAATATCTCCTAATGATAGGGTTGAAAGGATTCCTACAAATATTTTTGTAGGATTTAACCCAGTATTTGTCTACTTCTACTCTTTTTATCCTAGAAATCCAGTATGTTCACATGACTCTACAACCACTGAACAAGAGAATGAATGATGGTTAGTCTAAAGGTTAATGCTAATGAACTATAAGTTGCACTGCAATTTACTTTGAACAGAAGAAATACAAGTGAAATACCAGTAGTAACAGTAAATTTTAAATACTAGTAAATACTAGTTTTTAAAAAAATGTCCAACCACCATGGTACCCAATGTATTTTCTCATATAGCTATAAGACTGAGACAACATACATCAATTAACTTAACCATTAACAACAAATTACCATTACTCTTAATTTTGGATTATACCTGTGTGTATATACACACACATACCCACTCCAATACCACATCATTCAGAGACAGGCTCTTCTCTAAGTTCTCATACTTTACTGTGCCTCAGAATCCCCTACAGGCCTTTTTAAAGCAGACTGCTGGGTTTCCACCCCAGAGTTCCTCGTTAAGTCTACAGAGAGACCCAAGAATCTGCATTTCTAATGAATTTCCGGGTGATGCTGATGTTACTGGCTCAGGGACCACATTTTGGGAACCTCTACTGTAAGTGATCTGTGAGTCTCAAAAGGCAACTGCAGAGAGAGACAGAGAGAGAGGGAGATAATTATATAAAAGGTGACACTGTAGTTATTAAATTAATGAAAAGAGAGGGAGAGAGCGAGCAGGCAAGAGTACACTCTCAAGAGAGAAAGAGAAAAAGACATGCAGTTCTGGCAAAGGAGGTAGCAGATAAAAGTGAAGACAGATTATTTTCTTCCAACCTGACACTTGCCCTTTATCTTGCTGGTTAGAAAAAAACTAAGAAATCATGGGGCACCTGGGTGGCTCAGTTGGTTGAGCCAGGGTCTTGGGATCAAGCCCTGCATCAGGCTCTCTGCTCAGCTGGGAGTCTTGCTTCTCCCTCTCACTCTCCCTCTATGCTCTCTTTCTCCCAAATGAATAAACAAAACCTTAAAAAAAAAAAAACTAAGAAATCAACAAAGACTTCTCAAATGACAACTGACATACAAACCTGCTCACATTTAAAAGGCTAGATAGATTGTTCCCATTACAAGTTTTCTTAAAACAATATTGCCAGGAACTCTTCAGCCTTACAATACCCCTAGATGGGACTACTTTCAGGAAGACACCGAAGGGGCACAGAAGTTAGCTAATGAGTTTTCCATATTAATAAAAAAAAAAAATGAACACTCACCAGTGAAACATGGGTGAGCAATGATAATCAACAAACAACTACAATATGCAGAAAATCTACACTTAGAAACACTGTGTTTGGAATTTGTCAAGTATTAAAATTTTATTTAAATGAAAGTTTTTCCTTTTAAGTTACTGAGCCACATAAAGGGAAAATATTAATTTTATTAGAATTTGAACAAATGCTGCACAAAGAAAACATTTTAACAAAGTCGTACGGTGGCATAACAAACAAAAAACAGCCAAAGATGTGTAAAAGAAATATAAGGTGGAAAACTGTTAAATATCTCATGATCCAGTGTAAACACAAGAAGTCTAAACTTAAAAACCAAACAAGCACAACCATAAAACAAAAAGTTAATGTTTGTGCTATCCTAACCAGACACATTCTTCAGCAAAACTTTAAAAGGCAGTTATATTTTACAGTATTCAATCTGATTTCTGACTTTTTCAGAAATAGACTATATAATTCAACCTCACAGTTGAAAGTTTAAGCACTGAGAAATAATTATTCTACTAACTGAAATGACAGGTAAGACAAAACAATTGATTAGTCTTTCATGCTGTATTTTCAACTGCAATAAGGGCCTGATCCAACCACAAGAAGCCGGAAGCAGTTCAGAGTTCTTTTCTAATGCCTAAGGAACATCTCTGCCCAGTCTGACTGCCATAGTATTGTTACCCTAGAAACAACAGAGCACTCTCAGGGACCAATGTAGGAAGAGAAGACACAATAGAAGTTTGATATTTTATAGCAAAATAACTTGTCACCACCTCAGACTACCAAATACCAGAAGTTACTTAAAACAAATTATTTAAGTATTCCCCATCTTTGCAACTTATTTCTAAATACTGATATATTCATTTTTTTAATTGACCACATCAGGTTAATAATAGTGTAAATCAATTTGAAAACTACAATTAAATACTTCAAGAATAGGACTTTGCATATTTTTCTCTTATACCTTATCTTTACACAAAGATACAATTCTTACTATTTTGGTAGAGAAGTCTATGGGAAATAAACGTGGAAATGTTTTAAGATTGTCAACCAAGACAGGTTTCTCCATTTCGTGATTGTCATCTTACAAAGATACCAAATTTCACATTGTTAAATATCTTAAAACAATATAATTGTGATTTTTATAAACAAACAAAGACAAAAATTCTAAATGCTTAGGAACGAAAGTTAAGCCCTTTGCATTCCGAATATTTGAAATTTATTCACACAATATGCCCAATCTGAACTTTAAATGAGGTATATTTTCTTCTTTCCAAATATCAAAAGCCTAGCAAATACATCATACCGTGAACAGTTTCAAATTAAAATAAATTCACAGACTTTTTGTTGATTTTCATTTTAACCTGTCATAAAACACGCTGCCGTGAGTCTTTGGATGTGGTGTCTAAGAAGAAAGGAAGTTGCACATGGTCACTCTCTGTATGACAGTTGCAAATACATAAGGTGAAAACACTTTTGTGGGTATTTTTAAAACATGATAAATGCATTACCAAACACTAGTCATGATTTTAAATATTATGTAAATATATAGTAAAGATCATCTATGTATCCACGATCGTATAAGGGGAGCACTAGAAAATAAAAATCTTATAATGATCTTATGGCAGTCCTTAAGCAACTGAATGTCTTTATCTGAAAAACCTATGCTGCAAAAATTTGAATCAAAGTTTTGCTTTCTGAATGCATGGGTTATAACCCACAGAAAACATGAGGGACAAATTGTTTGGTCAGGATCTTGTTAAACTAAGAAACAAAAAATTTAAAAACCAAAATATGCACACCATTAAAAATACTAATTCTGAAAATTATGCAGCTAAAAATTAAATCACCCTGTCCAGCAAGTTCCAAAAATTTCACACATTTCAAACATTAAGGCAACTTTTTTCCAACTAAACAGTACTTTATAAAAATATATGTCACTTCAAAACATTATATACATAGTGGCAATAAATTTAGCTACTTGTAATCTTTAATACATTAATAAAGTATCACATATTACAAAGAAATTATACTAGGTGTCTGCATGTATGTGCAAGTGGAGTTACAGTTTTTAAAGTACAGGTTTTAAAACTGAGCGAAGTGAACGTCCCTCTTTAGTGAGTTCTCGTGTCACACACATACACGGTAATGGGATTGCTTCCTCCCGTTTCTCTACAATATTGTAACTGCATTTCTTCAAGTGGTCAGCCATGCTTAGGATGTCAGCAAATTTCCATTCATTAACAGAACAAAATGCAGTACTGAATCGCCATACCTAAAAGAAAATTCTATTTCAGATTTAAACAAGTCAATTTAAAGAATCAAAATACACTTCTTACTCCAACTGCAAACATTTCTACTGTTAGAGAAATATCCAATATAAAGTTCCAAGCAGTTAGCTACAAAACTGAAAAGGAGTAAATCCATTTGGAGGCAGATCTGTTTATTAAATACTTGTATGAAAAATCACTTCTATGACATTTTAACCTCAATAAATGCAGTAACCAAAAAGAAATAAAAAGCAAAATTCAACATTAAAAACTACATCCAACTTGGCTTATTAAGCAATTTTTTAGAAGATTTTATTTATTTGCAAGAGAAAGAGAGAGAGTATGCACGAGTGAAGGGAAGGGGAAAGGGAGAGAGAGAATCTCAAGCAGACTCCCCAGCTGAGCACACAGAGCCAAAGTCAGACGCTTAACCTACTGAGCCACCCAGGCGCCCCTAAGCAATTAAAAATCATAACCTCGTAAATTCAGAGGTACTTCCTAAAATAATATATTGCACACTCTTCTCTCATCCTATCCAATTGGCCATATAGAGTTATTCACAGTCTGGAGATAGTGATGACACATGTGTTATTTTTTTCCCCAAGTTTTTCTTCCATTCCTATTATACTATATGAGGTATACTAAAAAATAGACTAATATGTGGTGCCTGAGTGGTTTAGTCGGTTAAACAACTGTCTTCGGCTCAGGTCATGATCCCAGGGTCCTGGGATCGAGCCCTGCATTGGGCTTCCTGCTCAGCACAGTCTGTTTCTGCTTCTCCTTCTCCTTTTGCTCCTCCCCCTATTCACGCTCCCCCCCGCCGCCACTCACTCACTCTCTCTAATAAATAAATAAAATCTTTCAAAAAAATACACCAATATTTTGCCAAGGTACCTTATGATTCCACTATTTGTAAGTACCAAAGGTAACTCTGTAATATTCATGAATACAGGTAATTTATTCAAAATGTTTCTGAAAATTTACATAAAACTTTTGTTAAACGAATCTTATTTTATTCCAAATCATTGTGAAATGCATTTCTAGGCAAAAATTCACCTGCTATCCCTATTCATGTGTCTGTTGGTAAAAATATGAGCCACTTCCCCTTTTACCCACTCAGCAGCTCCAAGTCTTGAAACACTGTCATCTTATTAGCTCAGCAAGGACAGTTGTGGCCCCTTCTCACCTTCACAATTCTAAATATAAAGCTTCCTGAACACAGGAAATAAGCACAAATGGAGGACAGACCCAGGTAACAAGCAAGAATGGGACAGATCAGGCCTAGGCATCCTAGCTCAGCTCATCAACAGGAAGATGTTAGAGCACTCTGAATGCCAGTAAACAGCAGATACTCTAGAAAGTGGCTGGGGATTGGAGGAGAGCCCTCAGCACTCATTAGAGCTTCTCAGGAAAGAAGGGCAATGCCTTCCAAGGTGGCTAGATGCCTTCAAATTCCCCGAGAACACTTTTACTTTTCAGCTGGCAAGAGAAATCACCACTGCTCAGCACAAAGGGTACTTACTCCCTATATTCCTTAGGGTTGTATCAATTACGCCTCCTGGGGAGTTCTTTCCCATGAGTCCATGAAGGTCTAGAGAGTAGCTACCAATAGATACTACAGATATCACTAGCCTCCCTTACAATTACCTATACCTATAAAACTACAGAAGAATTAGGAATTTTATTAAGCCTCAGCAAAACAAATTCATGAAAGACTCAATGGTGGCAGACAGCCTCCCCATTTCCATAAGAGTCTGGTGAAACAAACTCAGAAAAAAATGGATGATTCTCATCTCCTGCACGAGGCTTCTTAGCAATAGGCCAATTTTTCGTTCAGAAGTCTTCCTCAAGTCCTTACTTAGTGCCCACGATATGGCAGTGCTGTTCAAGGCAGTAGATGTTTCGGTTCCCGAGAGTCTCACTTTTCAAGGAACTGATAGTCTAACGAAACTGGCAATTCATCAGTGAATTACAATACAGCATGAGAGTGCTCTAGTAGGGGTACACAGAGTAGGGGACTCTTATGGGGCACCACACGAACACAGAGCAGTACACCTCCCTGAAAGCTTCAGGGAGGGGTTCCAGAGGCTCTCCTGAAGAAGTAAGATCTGTAGAGTGAGCAGGATATATAGCGAGAAGATGATCACATGCTTGAAAGACAGGTTCCCTAGGTGTGAATCCATCAATTAGTTGGACAAGTTACTTCACCTCTCTAAACTTCAGTTTCTTCACCCATAAAATAAAGATAGTAGATTAAATAGGTAAACAGAAGTAAAATGCTTATTAGCACACTGTCTAGCATATTGCAAATGCTCAGATGTAGGTACTGTATTAGGGACAGCACATTTGAAGGCCTTACAGCAAGAAGTCAAGAAAGAAAACATCAGGAAACTGTACGTAAATCACCATAGCTGGAATACAAAATGACAAGAGCAAACTGAGGAGGTAAGCAAGGACAAGATTATAAAAAGTCTTAAATGGTTCTTTAAGGAGTCCTTCTGTGTCCCAGAGCAATGAACAAGCATTAAAGTTTTTAAACACTACAGTGTAAGAACTGTATTTAAGAAAATATTTATCACTCTAGTCCTTACAGAGAGAGTATGCTGGAGAGGGACCCAATTAGGACAGAAACCCAGTCAGGCTCTTGTGGTAACCGAGAGAGAGCTGAAGGGGACAGAGCTAGGTAAGTAGCGGTGGAGACAGTAAAGTAAACCTGAGAGGTATGAAGAAGGGAGACTTAAGAGGACTTTATGATTACCTAGATATGGAAATAAAGGGGAAAAAAAGAAGTCAACCTTAGCTCCCAAATTCCTAGTTTAGGCAATTTGATAGATGATAATGCCACTTGCGAGATTTTTTTAAATTAAGCTTTTTCCTAGCTCTTTTTAAGATTTTGTTTACTTATTTATTTGAAAGAGAGAGAGAGAGAGAGAATAAGCAAGGGGGGGAGAGAGAGAGAGAGAAGCAGACTCCCCACTGAGCAGGAAGCCTGACGCACCTGACGCAGGGCTCAATCCCAGCATCCAGAGATCATGACCTGAGCCAAAGGCAAACGCTTAACCGACTGAGCCACTGAGGCACCCCGCCACCTGCTGAGATTAAGAGGGACAGAGGGGCACCTGGGTGGCTCGGTCAGTTGACCATCGGACTCTTGATTTCGGCTCAGGTCATGATCTCAGGGTGGTGAGACTGAGCTCCACAACAGGCTCTGCACTCAGTGCGGAGATTCTCTCTTTCTCCCTCTGGCCCTCCCCACTGTGCATGCAAGCTCTCTAAAATAAATAAATCTTAAAAAAAAAAAAAAAAAAAAGAGGGATAAAGATGTGGAATGGGTTGGACATGTTGAGTTTGATGAAGCTGTGAGATAATCAAGTGGAGATGCTTATATACAAGGCTCTGGAGTTCAGGAGAAAGTGGCCAGGATATAGACGTGTGAGTAATCTGTATAAATGATGGCAATTTAAACTCCAAGAGTAGATAAGATTTTCTGCAGGAATAGAATCCCCAGAAAATACTTCACCTCATAGGTCAATACTAGTGGGCAAGGACAAAATGAGACTATGCTCAGAGTGTCCCATCCCAAATGGAAGAAAGACACCAAGTCCTCTGTATGTGTATACATACATATACACAGCCACCAAAATTCCCATTTGGAAAAAAAAAATCATAAAATAAATAGTGTGTTCATTTGTTGGTCAAAGCCTCAGAAGAACACAGAAGATGCAGAATTCTGAAAAGCTGGAGCAATGAGTAAAAGTCAGAGAAAACCTAAGGGTGGTAAGAACAAAGTATCCAGAAATTTGAACCCTGTGCAACCAAGGTAAAATTTACCAAATTTTTTCTCCTTTATAAAACGCAAAATGTCATAAGTGTTCTAATATAAAAAACTCCTGCAATAAAAGATATTTATAATGTCTTCTAGTTTCTATTAGATAGTGCCTCAAACAGAAGGTGGGCAAAAGTAGGGGCGCCTGGCTGGCTCAGTCAATACAGCATGCGACTCTTGATCTCAGGGTTTTGAGTTCGAGCCCCATGTTGGGTGTAGAGATTATTTAAAAATATAATAATCATAATCATAATAAAATAAAATGTGAAAAAGTAGATTTTCACAAAAGAAAAATGGTGGACTCAAGACTTGCTCCCAGATCTGCCTAAATCTCCAGTTCAAGCCTCCAATATGCAACTCTCTCTTGTACCGTACTAACCCAGAGCCCTCCACCAACAATATCAAATCCAAGTACCCTACTCTTTCCTCCCACTTCGACCTAACACATTTCCACATCCATCATGTTTTCTAGCCCCCAAATACTCCATTGGTCACTTACTAGTGTAGCAGTTTTAACTTTTCTCATTTCTCCCTATTTAAGTTCTACCTGAAATAACTAACTAAGAAAGAAGTGGCTAGGAATGAAGAGAAACTGCCAATTTTAAGCAGCAGAAAACCTTCTCCTTGCTTCCTCCATTGTCCTATGGTGAAAATGTTTCAGATGGAGCTCAAATTGGAAGGTGGTTAACATGGACTCAAAAGGAGCTGTTACAGAAGAACTGAGTATAGAACTGCTCAACTGAAAAAACAAGTGACCTTGGCCATATTAGATTAGAACTGGGATGTCTGTAATAAATATGTGATTATGACAAATAATTCCAACCTCATTTTTCATTAGTTATTATTTTTAAAAAGTCTGTCAGATTAAAGTGTAAGTTTTAAGATGGTCAATTTTTCAACAAGATCTTAATTTTATTAATTCTGCAACATTGTCTACTATATGTCAAATAAGGAGATGATACAGTTAAGATTAAACTAACCTTTTCTTTTATTTGCCATGACGAATTTCCTTCTGGATACTTCCTTTTTCCCCACTGCAGTATGACCATTCCACGAGACTGAAGCAGGCTGCCACACACATCCCTCATTAACCGGGATACACATGAGAGCTGGCATAAACTGAAGCCATCAAGAAAGCCTGCAATATGTTGTAGGACCTCAAAAGGAAGACTACTTAGATGGTCACTATGCAATCCCAACACACAGTTTCTAGCAGGCTCTACTAATACTGTGGATACACATGGCTGAACTCCAAAGGACCTCAAATGGCGGTCATGTATAATCTTTGCTCCTTGTGTTGATGGACAAAATCTACGCTGAGAATAGGTACAACCGTAATATGCTAAAGGACACCTCTGTTCCATCCAGCCATTGAGTCCAGCATGAATGTCACCATGCACATTCTTAAAATGTGAAGAAAATTCTTTTCTTCTAAATAACTGCCCACAAACAAATGTAAACATTGAACGCTGCTTGGGTTGGTACCTAGCAACACATTCCAATACTAAATCCAGCCCAAGCGTCTGAAAAGGACTTGGATTTGAAAGCTGTGGGTTGGCATGATCACAAGCTGAAGCTGAAGCTATTTCCCCAACCATTGTATTGGTAGCTAATATTGCAGATGGAAGTGAAAAAGTCTGAGTCCCAAAGTCAATGTGATAAACATCAACCATGCGACTATCAGATATACCCCTCCCACCTGGAGAATCTCCTAGACAAAACAGCAATGCTGCTGTGATTAGATCTATTCCTTGGAGGCCCATTGGATCTTCTGCAACTTCCAAATCTGATGTATCTACTGCTTTATCTTCTTTTGGTTTAGACCAACATGAGTTAGAAAGAAATTTGAATGAAGGAGGATGACTGAAAGATAAGACATCCACATTCCTCAAGTCCCCTAAGTCTACTTTTCTCCAACACAATGCTCCTTCATCCTCATCATCTGGCATGAGGATATGCTGAACGGTGCCATTAGGCAAAGCACCAGATGGTATTACTTCCCTAAGTTGTGCTGCTACTGAAAGTGAACTGGAAGGTTGTGAAGTGCCATCTGATGCTATACATTCTCCATTCGTTAAGTTCCTTTGTTTTGAATCACCATGTAATTTCTGATTTGGGTCTATGGCCTGTGTACCTATATTTTCCAAAGAAAAGCCATTACAAAGAGCAGAAGTGCCATAAGAACTGGTATTCGAGTCACACAATAAATCACTTGAACCATTTTGTTCAGATTGGACATTCAGACTTGTGTCATTATGGTCAATTCCACCTACTGCTCCTATCTCATCCTCACAAAAATGGTCCTGGTCTTTCAAGGGTCTATTCTGCAAGCTTCCTCTGGTGTCTTGCTCTTCATTCATTTCATCTGGGGAAGCGCGAAGACGACTTGTACTCAACATGCTACTGTCTCTTGCGGCAGTACTCAGGATATCTAAAGCAGCAGCCAAACTTCTGGTTGTTTCTACCGTTGCTTGATAAAGTGCACCATAAGAGTCTTCATCAACAGACACCAAACCATTAGCATGTGGTATTTCTGGGACACTTGATTTAACGGAGATCTGTTCTCTAGGTTCGGATACTTTATCAGTCGCTTTTGACATCATGGTGGCTACTTTGAGAGATTCCAAAAGCATCCTTTGGTCTTGAAGGGCCAAAGCCATATCTAATTGTGCCACTTCATCAACATCTCTGCTTAGATTTTCATACGATTTCCGATCTGCATAACTAACTGGCCATCGGTTCCACTCCATAGTACAGCACACCACACTTGCGGGACACATTTCTAGATGTTCAGCAACTTTATTTCGAGCCATTGTAAATGGACAGCCGAAGTCACTATTTAAGCAAGGCACACGTTCAAATGGACATAAAAGTCGATGCTCATCAGCTTTACAAGAATGGAAAACTGCTCCACACACCAACGGACAACCAATCAAGTCACAGGAAATCCCAAGCTCTGGTCTGGTCATACAGCGTCTACTGACACAATTCACACAGTGCGAGTGCAGCAGCTTCTCCTCCATGACGGCCCGTCCAGCTCTAGTTGTTGAGACAGAAAAAAGATAACAAGTTAGGCAAAAAGTGGTTGATTTTTAGAAATTGTTGAGTAATAAAAATCAAGTCGTAAAGGTGTATGTGTAAAATAAGCACACTTATCAAGTTTATTTTATATATAATCAATTCATCTTGAAACCACTTAAGCACTCATTTCAAGTAACAATGCAAAAGTTCATTTTTACATATCATATGACAATATGCCTAAGCGGCCAAGTGTCTCAAAATATAATGCTTAAATTCTAGTATACTGTGTAGTATACAAAAGGATGCTAAAAACAAATTAATGCATATTTGACTTTTAGATTTCAAAGAAGGCTTTAGCTTTTACATTTTAGTTTCAACTAAACTGGTTCGGAAGCACCCCATAGTACACTGACCTCATCATATTCCTGAGAGAATGATCTGAATTTCGTGAATATACTTAAAACTATTAGTTTTCTTTTTATTCCCTTCAAATATAGGAATTCATTTAAGATTTCATCTACTGATCACTCCTTCTACATATGCCTTAATACCTTCTACAACAAATCACCAGAGTAAGCCTTAATTAAAACATACAGGGAATTTACCCAGAAAATATAAGTCTAGCTCCAGTACGTGGCTATGGGCAAGTCACTTACTTCCGAGGGCCACACCTTCCATTCACTCATGCAACACCTATTTATTGTTTAACTACTATGTACCAGGCACTGTGTCTGGTGTGACAATATAAAAATTAGTAACTCCTCTCAAGGAGCTAGAGCAGGAGGTCAGAGAGACAACAGTAAAAATCATGTCACATTATTATGTGATCAATCTGACAGAAGTAAAATGGTAACACAGAGAAGACAATTATCACTATGGGTAGAGGTTAGAGAAGAATTCACAGTAGTCTTCAAAGATGGGAAATCTTAAGCATAGGAGGGGAGAATTGGAAAGGAAGGGAAATATTCAGCGCTGAAGTATCAACATATGTAAATGGAGAAAAATCAAGAAGTAGCAAAACACATTCAGGGAACCTCAAGTTTCCCAGTATTGCTGGATCACAAGGTGAAATGCCAGGTAGCTGTGAGACATGGGGCAGGATGACAGAAATAAAGCAAATCCTGAGGACTGTACTATATACTACTCTAAGGAGTCCAGACTTAAGGTAACAGGAATTCACTTAAGGATTTGAGCTGAGAAACAGTATCTATAAAATAACAGAAGGGGTTTTACAGATACCTAATGGTCTTTACTGCTTTTATCAAGAAAACTTTTATACAAAAATAGAGAAAGCATCAGCACAATATACTGATTTAATTATAATTATTAATCCTGTTCGATGTATCTTTGTCTATAATCTTCAACTTCTTTATTGGCTTGTCCCTATGAGCAGTAAAAACTTAAAAAACTATTTCATCTTTAAAAACCTAAATAATAAAACAGTATCTCTCTTCTACTACTATTCTTTTTTCCTAGTCAAGTTTCCAGAAGAAAAACAAAAAACAATTAAAAAAAAAAAAAAACAATAAAAACCCTTCATTTCTCCCATATACTCTTCATCCCTGTAATCTGGCTTTCTTTTAGCAAACAGTCATTAAAACTGCTCTGAGACCCTTGGTGCTAAATCCAAAGGGCATTTTTTCTAGACCTCATCTTCCTTGGCCATTTACCTCATTATGCTGACTATCCCCTCCTTTGTGAACTATTTGTCTTTCCTTAGGATGATACATTTCCCTGGTTTTCTCCCTACCTTTCTGGTTCATTCCTTAATCTCTTTTTCTAAAATATTCCTCTTCTCCAGGGATCATGTCACTTCTTGCTCATTCTATTCATTCTCCCTGGGTGCTCTCAATTTCTCAAAAGCTTCAATTACCACCCATATGCTGAAAACTTACCTCTTGCCCAGATCCTTCTCCCAGACTTCAGATCTCTACAGCCAATTACTTATTATAGATCTCTACCTCCATATGGGACAAGCAACTCATCGCAACATCTCCCAAATTAAATTACGTTGTAATAGGTAATAATTTTCTGGGTAAGAAGTCGATTCTTAGCCTATTTTCTTCACTTCAGTGCATAAAAGATTACCAGCTCTCTGACATATTTTTCCATAAATGCTATCTGGGTTTCAGGTGGCTAATGTAAACTAATTAATCCTGAAATTGCTATTTATTTTTGTCCAGTCCAGGACTGATTTTCCTCAAACAATAACAAAAGTCTACCTCATACTGATAGAGCTCTACTGATTAAGTAGAACAGTTCTGAGTTGATATGATGGCACTTACTGACGCTGGGGGGCAGGGAGGAGGCGGGGAGAACAAGGCATGCATTTAACAACAAAACTGTATTTTTTAATTGTGTTTAAAAATTACAAATACGGGGCGCCTGGGTGGCTCAGTCAGTTAAGCAACTGCCTTCGGCTCAGGTCATGATCCCAGGGTCCTGGGATGGAGCCCCACATCGGGCTCCCTGCTCCGCGGGAAGCCTGCTTCTCCCTCTCCCACTCCCCCTGCTTGTGTTCCCTCTCTCGCTGTCTCTCTCTCTGTCAAATAAATAAATAAAATCTTTAAAAAAATAAAAATTAAAAAAATTAAAAAATAAAAATTACAAATACTTCTGAATGTTTATCCCCACACATTTTCTAGGTTAAGACAGAACCTATAAGTTAAACACAGACATGCTAAAAGGGTCATAACAGAAGAAATGACAGACTAAAGATGACAAACATTTGTAAATTAAGCAGATGTTCAAAGAGAAATGTTAGTAAGAATTAAGGCAAATGTCATAGAGTGATTAGATTGTGAAAACAGCTGTAGCTTTCTTATTTTGCAACAACTACACGGAGTTCATCTCACATGCTGAGGGTTATAAGCTTGACTGTTACTAAGAGAGAACCTAAAAATACAAGCAGTTCCAAAGAAGTGACCACTGCTCTCATAACTTGTAGGAACACTTTATGTTATGTGCACATCACATGACCACACCAGGCAGAACATATCTCAAAAACATCACTTAATTCAAAACTGTTTAAAATAGCAACTGCTACAAACAACTAAGTTAAATGCAAAACAGCAACAACTTTGAAAGGAAGACATAGAGGGCTCTCTAGCTTCAAAATAGTTTGTTCCACACTACTCCCCTTGGAATAAGAAAAATGTTTCAAAAATAAAAATAAAAGCATCTACAGCAATGAGGCTACAATATTTATTTATTGAAGTAGACTTAGAAGGAAAAAAGCACACTAATTATGTACCCATTTTCTCCTTACATAAACCACTTCATTCCGTGTCCTTTAATCCTCTTAACAACCCAGAGGAAACTGAGGTTCAGACAGGCCTAAGGGACTCGCCCAAGGTCATCTCCCTGGTAAATGGCAGAGCTAGGACTTCAATCTATATCCGATCAATGCATCTGGACAACAACAGATATGTTTACTCATAAAAGTTTAAGAAAATAGGCAGCACTTTAGTAACTGGTGATCCAATTTTAAGATGTTATTTGAGGAATGGAGGTTACACAACTTTACCTGCAGTTTATTCCAACACTTGATCACCCCTGTGGTCAAGAAAGTCGTTTTGGTCCTTTGTAATTACAATAGCACATAACTTTGCTTTGAATATCAGTGTTTAAAACTATTTTTAAAATAACTTGCATTTATAATAGTACAAACTTACAGAACAAGAATATAAATTTAGCAATTCTCAAAACAGCAAAGTAGGAATCAAGTTTAATTCCATTTTACAAGTAAATATATTACGAAATAAGTTAAGAAAAAGCACTGGATAATAACCAAAGAGTATTCTGGGGATAGAATCCTCAGCTTCAGAATTTAAAATTCCCAGATCCATCCTTTTTCTAATCAAGATCGTTACCAGATTAAAATGCCTCCATAAGGTATTCTGCAATTGCTCATAAATCCTGTGAAATGGGTTTAAAACATCTGTCCCTGATTTATCAGTTGAACAGTGACACAGCAGGCCCATTAGAAAACATGTTGTTAAAACGGACGCTTCAAGTTCAAGATAAGCTTAATTTAAGACTCCTCAATATTAAGTTTTCTTAAACCCTCTGGAAAAAGAATCTTAGCATTCCAAATAACATCTCTATTAATTTACACTTAAAGTTGAATGGCTGGAAAAAGTCTCATTAGACTAGAAAATATTTATAAATGATTAAATACTTTACAATAGTTTCAATTTTCTCCAATAGAAATTCTTGGCCAACTCATACTGTGTGACTGACAAGCAATCCATAAAAATAGTTCTAAGACATGGCATTCTCCCATACAGTGAAAGGAGGCCTTGTCATTTAAAGCTATTTCTATACATAAAAATAACTGCCCTCAAAAAACCATTTCTTTATTTTTCCAGATTCATTAAAATAATTAAGGAGATAAATAAAGCATTGCAAGTTAGCGTGATTTTAAAATATGCTAAGTCAAGTCACCCAAAGCACTCAACACAGCCTGCTGCTATGTGTGCCTCTGTTAGCAAGGACACATGCACACATGCGCAGCACCCCCTCCCCACAACTGCTGCCTCAAATCTTTAAGTCTCAGCTTAAATGTTACTTTCCACATACCAAAGGCAAGGTATGGATCCCATATTATGCTGTGTGCTCAATACACATTGCATTTTTCCTTGTAAAACTAGTCACAACTCTAAGTAAATCATTATCCTTTAATATCTGCCCCGACAGGAAAACAGGAAATCTATAAGCTCCATGAAGGAGGCAGGACCATCTCTTGTCTCATCCATTCTTGTGTTTCCTATATTCCAGACTGTGCCTAATTGGAGCTTCACTTATTTTAGAAACATAAATAAATGAAAAGATTATACTGTAAGAAACAGCCAAATGGATTCCAAAACAAAATGAGATTTTTGATTTCATAGAAAATTACATACTTCATGAAAAAATACAACCTTACAGACCTAGTATTATACAATCAGACTGAGTCAAAATTATACCTTATTGTACCAGTTACAAAAAGGCAATAGTCCTCCAACATTTACTGAGTACCTAAGTCATATGTTCCAAGCATTATATATAGAGTAAGATAAATCGTCTATGAAAAAAGCAAGTCAAAGGGAAAAGGAAGTCAAAGAAAGTTAATTTCAACCTTCCATTATTTTAAAATCTTAAAAAATGGGCATAGAAGTAAACGTTTACCAGTATATTGTTCCACTATTTTAACTCCCTAATCAACTCTGCGCTCTGGTTACTGGTTACTTGAATACAAAAGGCGTCAGCTTCAAAAAGAAAAGCAGAGGTGGAGGTAGGTGTCCACACATGTTGCACGTGCCTGAGTAGGTACTGGGCTAACAAAAGAAGCTCAAAAAAGGAAGTGGTACCAGCCGACTGCTTAATATTGCAGTTAATATGGTACTAGATGAAACAGAATTCCACTCAATAAAATGTTGCTTCAGTGTGAGGATGAAATGGAACTATAGACAGACTTGTTCCATTAGTTAACACAAGTAAGTCCATGACTGAAATTTTACATTTAGCAATCAGTTATGAGCTCCTCTAAGCAAGTCTCATCCTTCTTGTACAGTCGGAGGTACTAGTCAGAGTAATACAATTAATTGTACAATTAATATTAAATACAAATACCTCCTGGCTGATTTGTGATCAAATGCAATCAGTTTTAAAGACCATAATAAATCTATACTCTCAGTTGGGACATCTTAACTGGTTTAAAAGGGGCGGGGGGGGGTGGGTGGTGACTAGGCAAGATTGAAAATCCTCTATCATTAAACTCCCAACTCAAAGCACATGCCCTCCTGATGAGTCCAAAATGGCTAAATGGGTTACACTGTATACATTCTTTTTATTAAACTTTAGTTCTGACTTTTTATAGAATGATGACCTAACTAAATGGAAAATGTTGTCAAATTTTTCACCCTTCCAGTTATGATATAATAAAACATATATCTTCTATGTCTAAATACGGTCACGAGTAACTTATTCCAAAGGGAAAGTTCTAACTACTTGCAATGTTCTCCACTAAATAAGCAAATGAAATGATTACAGATTTACATCAGAAATTAAAATAATATTATTATCTAATACTCGGACCAGAACCTGTTTGTGCTGATACCCAGATAAATATAATCCACCCAAATGGCGGTACTCAGCTTATTAAAATGGGCAGCATGGCACTGGGGAATGGGCTTCAAAGGAATCTAAGCTTTGTGACCATAAGGCAATTATTCTACTGTGAAAACAACCTAGAACTCTACAAAGGTTGGTTATAATTATGTGTGTGTCCAAAAGGATACAATGTATTCCTTACAAAAGGGGGGTATTTCACTTAACAGGACAGCCACATTTACATACACAAAGCTTTATGTAAAATTATTTTTTATATCAGGTCATTTACACTTATAAAGCTTATAAAAAGCAATTGTATGAGGAAATAACCTATGTTAACATTATCCACTCATAAAATAAATAAACAAACAGACATACCCTTTCTGTAAAGGATTTTCAGAGACTGGGTTTTAATTGAGGTATGCTTATCTGTATTTAACTATATAGCTATCTACATTGCAAAAGCCATTAGCCCAATGCCAATCCCACGTATTTCATCAAACTGAATTTGAAATTAGATATTTTATATAGCCTTTTGATTGAGGACTTTGTCAAAGAATTCTACAAATACAATGTCCTTTTAATGAAACAATCATAGGAAATCAGTTAAAAGATGTATTCCAAATCATACAAAATAGCATAAGGGCTTATCCCATTAAAAGTCACATTCAGTAATATAGTATATCAAATAGTAAACACACATTAACCAACACCTATGTGGTGACCTCAAAGTACCTCTCTAACTATATACACTATCTCAAAGTATTACTGCCCTTTAATGGGTATTTTATTAGGACACTTTGTATTCTCTAGAAGTCTTCAGTGCTGGAGATGGAGAAATATTGGGTTGAAATTAAATACCTAGCACACTTGGAATGCATAAAAGTTTGCCTATGTCGGAAACTCCAGTTCTCTGATAACCCTCACAAAACTCCACCCACCTACATTTCCAGAATCACAAAAAAAAGCTTATTGTCACTGCATTAAAGTACTACATAAGAACGAATTGGCAACTTAAAAGTTACCAAAACACCATGTTATCCCTAATTAAGTTTCTGGAGTAAGAAACAGTGACTAAGCATAAAGAACAGTGATTCAGCCAAAACTTCACTAAAATTGAACCCTTAGAAAAATCCTAAACATACATTTTATGCTATCCCTTTCCTCTTGCTGCGACGAAAACTGGAGTGTTTTCTAAAACCTTAATAAATATGAGCAAATGCAAAATCTGTTCCTGTTACTTGTGTCTCTAAAGGATACAACACAGTAGTGAAATGCAACTGAAAGAAAGAAAGAAAGAAAGAAAAAGAAAGAAAGAAAGAAAAGGAAAAATTTAAAGGTTCAAAACGTTTGAGAAGTTTGTAGAGTTTTAAGTTAATCTACACTGATATCAGAATGCCCATAAATAGCTTCATCTTGGATCAGAGTCAACAAAGTAATTATGGAATAAAAGGTCAATTCCTTCCCAACCATCTTTTATCTGGGACTTACGACACGGCTCAGAAAGAAAAACAAGAGGGGAATGGAGTAGAAAAACCATGGTAAACAACATACTGCTCTGCCAGTCTCTCTCAAAGACACACGTTAAAAACATACTCAAGGGAGATTACTCTGAATTCAACGTGCACTCTATGGCCCCCTTCCAAGCAGTGTTCCACGGGACAGGACACAAATAACTTGGAAATGGTCATACCCCTCAGATCTAGAAAATCAGGAAGTTTCTCTTTAATAAGGACTGCGGCTAAGACGAAGATCCGCTCACTACCATGAATGGAAAAGTTCCCAACTTCACTCATCCCGTGAAGACAGTAGATGATGCCACCCAATTTTACTTTAACCCGTCTGTCCCCAAACAATCCAAGTTTTTAACAGGCAAAAGGAAACAGAAGCCGCGTTTTCAAGGTTCTTGGGGCTTCCCAAGTTTACCTCCCGCTTCACCCCTCCCTCCCCTGCATACAGACAAGCAGGCCAGGTGACACGGGGGTCGGTCCCCGGCTCTGGGTCGCCATTTGCCGGCTGCCTCCACCGCGGGCCCGGCAGGACGGCTCGCGCGGACGCCCACGCCGCGGACGCCGTCTCCGCGCGCCAAGACGGCCGGCCCGGAACCCGCAGGGCCGGCGCGGGCGCTGTTTATTTACTCCGCCCAGCCCCGGGCCGCCGCCGCCCGGGCTGCCGGCCTCGCACGGCCCGGCCGCCGCCTCCGTCCTCGGCGAAGCCCGAGTCGCGCCGGCCTCCCGACACTCACCGCCCCGCGCGGCCGAACCGCGGCCCAGGCCCTGGCTGCCGACGCCGCCGTGCTCGGCTGCACCGCGCGATCCCGGCCGCTCCGCGCCCCACACCGCCGTGCGGTCCGCCTCCTCCTGGCCTCTCAGCCCCGCCGGGCCGCCGCCTTTTCTCCTCTTGTCCAGCTCTTCTGCCTCCTCCCCCGGCGGCCGCCCTCCTCGCGCGCCCCGCCCCACCCCGCCCAGCCTCGCCCCGCCCACCGGCCGGCGGCGGCTGCAAGCCCGGCGGGGACGCGCACGCTGAGCCCGGCGGGGACGCGCACGCTGAGCCCGGCGGGGACGCGCACGCTGAGCCCGGCGGGGACGCGCACGCTGAGCCCGGCGGGGACGCGCAGACCTCCCACGGATGCTCAAAGCGAAGCAGGAGGGTGGGGTCTCAGGAGTCCTGGGCTTCGCGCGTCCAGCGAGGGGATTTCCTCTGGGCCCCACGTGCCCTCCTCGACAGTGCTACCAAATCTTGTTGGACTTTAGCATCTTGTGTTCCTGGAAGGAATCCTAGACCCGTAGTTTCGGAATTGAGGAAACAGGCCCATGCAGACTGGCGTGTTTATCTCCCTAAATTGTAGGATAAGCAGCAGATCCCTCAATTCTCAGTGCGGTGCTCTTCCCATTAGGTCATATTTAGGAGGAAGCGGGGCAGCTCTCTTTGAAGATTTTTGAAGATTGCTGCCACAGGCCTTCCTGCCTGCTGACTCAATGCACCCGAGTCCTGTAGCTTAGTGTCCTTTGTAGGGTTCTACCTACCGTGGGACCAAGCTCAGACCGGGGTTCAGGCGTCACGAAGCTTTACTGGAGCCCAGGCGGAATAGCCCACCAAGGTTGGCTTGTCTAAGGGACTGAGGCATTCTGCACCCAGACCGCAGCAGCAAGGGTGTTCTGCATGAAAGGTGACACAATGTAGCTGGAAAGGCGCCTTGACGGCACTTTCACAGAAGACTTTACGAATGACTGAGGGTTAAAGAAATATCACGTGGCCATATCAAAGAATTGGGGTCCATTATCCTGCTACAACCACCACGCCTTGGTCTAAGGCCAAGAAACGTATTCAGAATCTTGGGTCGGGGGGTATCTCTCATCGCCACACCCATACACCAGTGTCCATCCCGTGGGCTCCTGCCCACTACCCGTGCAAGAGAACTATGACAAAGAGAAAATGGCTCTAATCCTGTCCTTGTGGGTGGGGGCAGAGACGGGAAAAGACTATTTTGTAATCTTTTCTGTGGCTACTATTTACCCCCAACTGGTATGGCTTGGAAAAGATAGATCACAGGTAATTTGCCATCCTGCAGAGAAGTGACTCTCAGACCTTTAGATTTTAAAGACCAGTATTTAAAAAACAAACAAACAAAAAAACTGAAGAAAGAACTTAGATAATTAACTACCTTTTTACTGTGCTAAGAAAGAAGTAAAAATTGCACCTTTTGTATTAATGCTTCATTTAATAAATTAAAGGAGATTTTAACACCATTAGCCAGGACATAATCACAGAATAAAGGTCAGTTCTTTAAATGAATAAATTTAGCTTTTTGAAAAATTCAGTCTGTTTTTCTTATTTTGTCAAATTTGGCTGCAGATGGACTCTGGTCCTTAGTCCAGAGTCTGAGAGACAGAACTAGGCGGGAAGGCTAACGAAGCAGGCAAGATGACCTGGTGAGAGAAGACACAGGTGCTGCTAGTCTTGCCCTTTCCCTCTCGCTATCCTGGATTGAGTCACATATCTGCCCTTTGCCTCAGTTGTCCTCCTACAAAATGAAGTGGCTAGAATAGATGATCCTTAGAGCCCTCTCTAGCTTTAAAACCTCTCGATTCCATGACCGTACTTACTGAAATCTGGAGCTTTCCCCTTTACTAAATCACCTGGCTGATACTAGGTCACCCCCTCAGGCTGTCATTCAGGCTGTAAACTTTAGTCTTCTTTGCCCCTTCCATCGCAGTAATTTTCCATGTCCAGGCAATCCAAAAACAAAAAACAAAACAAAACAAAACAAAAATTCCTTTCTTCCTGTCTTTCACATTCATTCCCAGTTACCATCCTAGGCACATTTCAATTTCTGCTGTTCGCTAACCAGTCTTTCCTCCTCCGGGGTTTCCCACATCAAACTCGCCGCTGACGTAGTTCTTCCTAAGACATCCTTTTCATAATGTTATGTCTCATTCCGATATCCATAATGACTAAAGGCCCATGGGAAAAGTCTCAATTCCTGCTTTCAGTTGCTCAAAGAACGTCTTTCATTCTAGCCTGATTAGTTTCCTTTTTTTCTCCACCAAACAGAATACACAGTCCAATTCCAAGTCACCTGTGCCCATGTAAGGACTGTGCCTGAACTTCTGCCCTCTTAAGCTTTAACCCCATGTCCTCTGTGAGAGGCTTCTGCAGCACATACATTTATTTTCAGCCCTTTGACCCGTGCCTCAGGCCTCTGTTACCTGCTTTTCAAATGTATGTCAGCTTACAGATTATCTCAAACTCCCCCCCAGGCATGTTTTGCATTGTTTTTGTATCTCCCTTCAGTCTCTAGTATCCTACTGTGCATATTGTAGATAACTTAATGAATACTTGCTACTTCATAAACAAAATGTGTACTCCTCTCATTTCATCCTACCCCCCATTTTCATTTTCTGTCCTGTGTTCTAATTCCTCAGGTAGACTTCTCTTAGTGCCCTGTCAAGGAAATTTATCTAAAACTTCAGTGGCAAGCAAAGAGAATGCTAGGAATCACAGGTTTCCTCAAATATGCTCTCTTCTCTAGTATACATGGAGTCGACATAGACTTCTAGAGCAACATTATCATCTGTGTAGCTTGATCACCCAGAGGAGTGAAAGGGACCCTGGAAATTTAAAGTGAAAAAAGAGGTCTTGCTCAAGGATATTGCTGAAATTGTCAATCATGTGCATTTTAAGTTTCACAATAAGGAGTAGATAGGTTTGACCTACCTACTGCCTTAAAAAGGAGGACCTCACAGCTCCTCAAAACACACTCTGCCGGTTGTCTCACATGGTTTAGATAAGGCATAGCTCCTAATGGTTTTTTCTAGAGGCCATTCTCAAGATGGGGAAGGTATAAGAACCATAAGAATATAATAACACCACAAGGAGAATCACAAAGCCTAAACACCAGACTAGACTGTAAGAGAGAGAAGTTGCCAGAGAATGCAAAATTCAGTTGATAAAGCAAATTCAAGAACCAGACGAATTGTTCTTCCCTTTGTTCAATGTCAGGCAAATAACATACACGTACAAGATTTTCTTTCCTATGTAGACCAGCCAACACTCAGGTAGCCCAGGGACCAAGGCAACAGATAAGTCTGGACTGAAGTTTAAGTCATGCACTAATTAAGGAAAGCATCATTGGCCAGAGACAAGTGTGAGAGGGTGGGGGCTGATTTGCAGCTGTGAAATCATGCGACAATCGGCATTCTCAGCTGGGACTGCGGTGGGAAATACCATTCCTCTTCTGTGATATGCTCATAAGGAATTACAAGAGAGAAGGAGCCACTTTGAATCACCTAATTGCCAGAGTTTAGAATCTAATAGCTGTAATTATATTTTCTATATAAGTTTCTTTGAAGTATGTAGAATATGACAATTAACCTACAATTATATGGTAATTTAGAAAGAGCCTGCCAAGGATCATATTCATAACCCCAAATCAACCTTTCAGTTTTATGTAAATAATCAGAGGAATTTGAGCCAAGGAAGTATGGAATGTTGGAAAAAGTGGAAAACCCAGGTATTATTCTTATATACCACAGACTCACTCTAGGACATTGTTGAAATTATTTATCAGGTGCATTTCATTCATAATTTCAGTTATTATAGTTAGATTTATTAATACAATTCCTAGCATGCAGAATATATGCCCATTGACCAAATAAAGCAACACATGAATAATTTTATCCCCAGAAAGGCTGTTGAGTGCCTCCGAGGTGTTGTATTTACATTTCGGGTAGCTACCACTAGGTGGAACTAGATCGTGCAGGAGCAGGTAAGCAGGTAGCCTTCTCTCAGGTGGGGGTAATAAAGAAGTAGTCTTAACCAATTGTCTACAGATATAAATGTAACTTTGTTAAGCTAACAGCACATTTGGGGGGTAATATTTAATTTCTATGTATAAATTTCACATTATTCAAAGAAATTTGATGTAGGTTAGCTATCCGGGAGAAACCACTTTTAATTTACTCCATAAATGAGCTCTCTATTCAGGGCTTATACTGTCTTCTCCGTTCAGTTGCAGAGGTAGCAAAGTTGCATGCCTGCAGCTCAGTCGCATGCTAGGAATGGAAGTGGGCTCGACGGGAGTTTTTGGAATCAGAGAAGCAAATCCTTGCAAAGTTGTTACTTAGTTCTAGCCCAGAGCCGCTGCTGCCTGAAAATGGAGGGAGTGTTACCATATCTTCTGATGATTTTTGCAGTAGCTCCTGGAAATTTAGTTAACTGTGTCAAAGCCACCTCATGTTGTTTTTAAATTTTTTTGAAAACCTGTACAGGGGGAGAAGATCAACCGCAAAAAAAAAAAAAAAGCCTACATCATCAACAGCCCTTGTTTTCTTAACTCATGCAAAAGATCACACAAGAGGACAGACTTACTTCTGTGGGCAGCCAATCTCCAAACTGAGTCTCACTTCCCTCTGGAGCTAGATTTCCTGTGCTCAAATGCTGGCTTGTCTATTAATGTCTAATCCTGGGGCAAGTGCTATAGATTGAATGTTTGTGTCCCCCACCTAAAATTCATGTGTTGCAGCCTAATCTCCAAGGTGATAGTACTAGGAGGTGGGGCCTTTAGGAGGTGATTAGTTCCTGAGCGCAAAGCCCTCCGGAATGAGATTAGTGTTTTTATGAAAGAGACCTCGCAGGGCTCCCTGGTCCCTTCTGCCATGTGAGATGACAGAGAAGTGGGCTTTGACCAGACACTAAATCTGCCAGGAACACGATCTTGCACTTCCCAGCCTCTAGAACTGTGAGGGGGAAAAAATGTCTATTGTTTCTTTTTTAAGATTGATTGATTGATTGATTGATTTTGACAGAGAGACAGCGAGGGAGGGAACACAAGCAGGGGGAGTGGGAGAGGGAGAAGCAGGCTTCCCGCTGAGCAAGGAGCCCGATGTAGG